AGCTAATTTGAATAAAGTAAAATCTCTGTGGACTTGATTTGCATTTCCCAGATTAGTGATGTTTTCTTGCTAGCTATTGGCCCTTTATGTACTGTCTCTTGAGAATTGTCTGCTTTGATCTACTGCCTATCTTTTAATTTGATTATTTGCTTTAAGCTATTAAGCTGTTTTGACTTCCTAGTATATTCTAGTCATTAGCCTCTTGGCATATGTATAGCTTGCAAATCATTTATTTTGTAGGCTCTTTTGTTGTGAAGCTTTTCAACTTGTTTCTATTTTTTTCTGTGCTATTAGACCCTTCCAAAATATTCTTAATTTCCTGAAGTGTTTCTCAGATATTTTCTCCTAGTTGCTTAGAAGTTTCAGATCTTACATGTAAGTATTTCATTTTGGCTAATTTTTGTACACAGTGATCAGTTAAATGTGATGTGAGTTCACTTTTGGGCTCTCTAGTGTGGTCTACATATAGGGTTTTATGCTAACACTATATTATTTTAACCACTTTATCTTGGAAATAACAGTCTAAAGTAATATAGTGCCAGTTGCTTTGGCGACCTGGGGATCCTTTGGGTAAGTGTGTTCCCCTAGTTTGATTACAGACTGCACTGAACCTGCAAAATGTGGGGGGTAGTATGGACATTTTAACCACACTGTTTCTTCTGGACCATGAATGGGATGACAATGTCATCTGTAGAGATGATCATATGGTCCCTGAGTTTCATTTTGTTGATGTGGTGTATCACATTTATTTGAACATGCTGAACTAGGCTAGGATGAAACCCACTGAACTATGGCGAAGCATTTTTTTTTTTCTTAAATAATCCTGGTGTTTTGCTAAGAATTTCTCCACCAATGTTCATGAATATGGGTTTTGCTATCAGAGAGCGCTGGGTATCTAGAATGTTTGAGTGTATTTGCCTCTGTTTTTAGAATAAGTTGGGTGCATAATTTGTGTTAATCTTTTTAAACTAGGAATCAGCAGTAATCTTGTCCTGGTATTTTGAAAGTTATTTCTGATTCAATTTAGGAAACTGAGTCTCAAAAAATAGCCTCTTAGCTCCATACTATCCTTTCTGAGCAAAGACGTTGGGTTATTTTACAAGGTTTGGGTAACTTCAGATTTCCACCAAAGATGTGAATCTAATACTTTAGAGTAGAAACCTGCAGGGTTCAGGAGTAACTAGGAAGTGAACTCGAAGCTTCAATACGATGCCGAGCAGACAGGCTAGCCTCTCATCTTCCAGTCTAGTGTAGTCACCTCTTTTATGAAGCCTTTCTGGATCATCAGCAAACAATATACTTTGTCTTGTAACCTCCTATCATTGACGTTACATTTGCCATTTCACTAACCTGTCTATCTCTATGGATCTTTGGGTAGGATCTTGCCACTACCTCCCAAAGGTTTAAGTCCCTGTACACATAAAAATAGTGTTGTTTTAATAGTGTTATTCTGGTTTCTCTTGGACACTCCATTTCTTCTAGTGGCATAGAAGTTAAAGGATACAGGCCCAGGGCACTGCTATGTGGACTGTTTCATTGAATTTAAACCCATTCAAGAATGTTCTATTACTATTTACAGATGAAGGGAATGGGCTTGAGAGAAGCTAAGTGTTGTTGCCATGCCACTTGGCTGGTACTTATAAGCAGGTACCATATAAAGCCTTCCTCTTGTATCGCCTATGAGTAGCGAAGCTGTAAAAATAGCGATGAACATAATTAACTCAATGCCTGGAACATGTTAAAAATCACATACCCATTCCCTATTAACAAGCACCAGGCTGACCATGTCAAATCCAAAGCTGACATTTCATTCCATATAAATCCCTTGTGCTTACTTCGAAGAATTGCTGTAGGTCATCAGGAATAAAATTAGGCTTGGCATGTGTTATGGACAAAGGCAGGAAAGCCCCTTTATTTCACGTGTTCTTTTCTGAGGGCAGGAGCTTGGTAGATTCCAGCTCATAGCTGAAAATGTGTACCTCACTTAGGCTGATCTTTTCTATGAGCCAGAGTTCTACAGAGAAATAGAGCCAGCACAAAGTGATAAGCATGGGGGCCAAAAAAAAAAACCAGCGAAGCAAGGTCCCGACTGGGGAAAATAACTGTCCAGCAGGGCACAAGAGCCAGTCACACTGATGCCAGAGGGCAGCCTGGGGAACACACGCTTCCCCTTCCTCGCACTCACTAGTGTAAGTTGAATGTGGTGTACTGACTGCAATGCTAACCTCTTCTGGAAAGCACAGACACATCCATACCCTTACTAACGGGGCATCTCTCACCCTAGCTCTGTTGACATGTAAAACTAATTCTCACACTCTTAAATGGTAAGCCCCTCCCCCCTGCCGTAGTAGCCCACATGCTGAGGTTATGAATTTAGCTACATGGTAAACAACTGCTGAGAGATGTAAAGAAAGTTCACTTTTTTAAGTAACGCAGAAATAATGTGATACTTTGGAAAGAGTTGTTTAAAATCACTAGCTAACTGCTCACAAAACTAAGGGGCTGGCAGGAGTATGGCAGAAATGCAAAGTGTTGAGTTGGCTGAAGGACCGTGCAAGCAGGATGTAGCAAAATGTAAGTTCAAAGCCAAATCAGCAGAAAACAGGTTAATATCCATTAACAGTGATCAAATGAATTAAATAATTTAAGAAGGAACATGTCAGTCATTTACAATTGTCATCTTATATCTGTGCTTCTGTTTCTCTAGAGAAAAATCTGAGAGTCACCTACTTGTTCCCTTTAGGAAAAAAGAAGTAATTTCAGGTGAGTTTTATTTGCATTACACAGTTACCTTTTTATAAAAGGTTAAACAGGTTTTTAAAAACTATGTGAATAAAAGACATGTACAGACTCTACAGTAAGATAAACAAGAGGTCGGGTCAAATCTCAAATTTATCATGCCTCGATAAAAAGGTTAACATCAATCTAGAACTCAAAGCTCTTCCCCCACCCCCACCCCCCCTTTTTTTTTTCCTCTGTAAAACTCCACAACTTTGTGGAGATGACACATTGTTAAAGTTTGGGAACTCTCACAGTACTTCTAGGATTTCTCCCACCAAGTGCTGCTGGGCTGGGATGTCATGGTCACTGACTTGCTACATTCCAGCTGCTCTCAAGGAAAGAATGAAGAAGGTTCCAGCAGATCAGCTTGCTTCAAAGGCACAGGGAGATGACTGGGCACTTGTGTGACGGTCAGCATGTCCATGCAGTAGCTCACAACCCAACACTGCAGCCCTAGGTAAACACTAACTCCACCAGCCAGAGAGACTCCAGCGTTCAGACAGCTCTGCTACCTTAGCTTAACACTAGAAACTGGGAGAGTACCTTACACTTTGGACCAAAACACAGCCAGCTGCCAGGCTCATTCCCTCACTTCCTCTATTTTCTAATACTGCACTTTTCCCCGATCTGAGTACGTCCTCCCGTTTTTCCGGCAGAACACACACTTTAGGAACCAGGACTATGCCTTATTCAGCTGTGTGTTCCTAGTGTCTCATACAGTATTGGACTGTCGCTGTAGTTTATATACTTGTATGATGTTCTTTTGAAAATCCTAAACTTAGAAACTAAAGCTTCCCTTGCCAAAGCTTGTATTTACACTATACACAGAAAATATATTCTTTGTTAAACTATATTTTTGCAGAATAAAATGTCAAGTCTATATCTTGCATGCTACATTCAAAGCTTTAATGAAAACTTTTATGGATATAGAAAAGAAATCTTTTAAAAGACAAGACTTAAGTTGGAATATGGAGAATTTCTTTTTTACTAAAGCTTAATCATGTCAGCTAGAAATCATCTTCTGCTCACAGCATGCTTTAAAATGAATAAGCATAATTACTATCAAATTACATGGTACCTACAATAACACATACAATGAATAAGGCTCTTTCTTCTTAATTGTGATTTTCATTACTAGGAACCAGCAGCCCCCTCATCCTTTCCTTGCCTAATGAGCTTCCTTCAAATAACAATGGGAGACCTCTATAGGATCCTGGATTCTTTATTACAGGAGATAAAAGATTCAACCCTTGGGTAAGTTGGAAACTCCAGTCACAAGGCAAGAATGGAGCATCTGAGTAAACCTATTGAGAAAGGTAAGAGAAATTTAAGTCTGTTCTGTAAAGAGGGCTTGATGTCAACTGCACCCTACATGCTGATAAGGCTGGTAAGTCTTGAAAAGAGGGCTAGAGTGATCCCCAGGCCAAGCAATTCTAGTGTGTGATGTGCTCTTGTGTCTAGGCCTCAACCAAGCAGCACAGTCAGTAACAAGCATCTTGTTACATAGTTCAAAGGTCACTGAAGGTTTTTAAAAATCTACATGTAACTCAGTCTGCCAAAGAGAATAGAAAATGACTGTAGAATTTAGAGACTAAGTCTCGGATAAAAGGCAGACAAGCTCAAACATGCAAAAACCTCTCATTACAATAGATTTAAGAACTGGTTTAAATAAATGTGCTTTGCTTTATTAATCTAAACTCTGTTGAAGGCAAAGTCAAGCATTCTGTTTCCTGGTAGCCTTATGTCTTAAATTTCAGCAATGGCTTCTCCTATGAAAACACTTGAAGTTCATGAAAAATGAACCCAATTTAGTTTGGTACAAAAAAATTGTAAGGGGCTAGCATAGCCTGCCCATGCGAGTGCCTGAGGCTGGGGAGGGTGGTTCAACTTCTGATCCAGCTCCCTGGTAATGGCCTGGGAAAAGCAGTGCAAGATAGCCCAAGTGACTGCACCCCTTCCTCCCACATGAGAAACCCAGATGCTGTGGCAGCTGGTCAACATCTGGGGATAACTGTTCCAAATAAACAGGCCTTGGGTTCAAAGTTTTTGGCAACAAAAGCAATGTATCAACTAATTTTTAATGCTAATGGGCAGTAATACAGGTTAGTACTAAAATACATAGTTTCAAAAGAACATTCTGGCTATGGGGGGTGGGAGTCAAGTTTATAAAAGCCTTTAGTCATTCTAAAATTGCGTTGGGAAATGTCAACATCACTTACTTGTATTGATCAGAAATTGATTGGACACACCAGGGTGATCTACATCATGGATTGCACTGGCAAAAATTGCTGCAAGAATCTCCAAATCTGTAAACACAGCCTGCAAAATCAGACCGGGAGAAGCAAGATTAGTCTCTGATAATAAAGATACGTGTTAGAATTCTAAGAAGTAAATTTCTCACTTGCTTTTATATTTCTGATGTAAAAACAAAATGAAGCTTTAAATTACTCCCCAAGGTGTCAGGAAGGAGCTTTTAGATAAAGTCATTAGCTTGGAATACCATGTCTTCCTCGGCACTGTAGGTTTAGAAGTCCTGGAGGTGAATGCCTTGAGCGACAGAACCCATCTCTGCCAAGCGTAATGATAGACAAATATCTCCAGACTGTGTCCTGTATTTCAGGAAGTCCCTCGCCCAACTAAGGTATGGCCACAATTTCATAAGAACAGTAACATCTGAGAGCAATTACTGCATAGCTTTTATTGTGTAAGTCAACTTTTGAACTAAATTCAAGAATACCAAAAAAATTTAAAAACCCTGTTATTCTATGCAGTATGTCAATACTTTACAAAACAGCCATGGCACCATTTCCAAGCAGGAGCATCATAAACAGATAATACATAAATTATTGCCCAACTTTCATAGGCAAAATTCAAACACTCTCAATGATGTATTTTTTGCTAGAGTCAAAAAATACATCATTGAGAGTCAATATACTTTCACTGAAGTCAATTAATTGCTCTTTATTCCTTAAAGCTTGCAGCAGGAGTCCAAGGCTGAGAGTCCTGTGGGAGGGACAGGCTCACCTCCAGAGCAGGTGTTGATAAGAGCACGTGGGTCGACTGGACGACATCTGCAGCATGGATGTTGTTGTGATAGGCCACGTCGGCATGGTAATGGTCTTCCAGGGTCATGAGATACGTAATTAACGTATCTACTGGAATTTTAAATGTTTTCAATAAATCCCGTTCCTGTAGGAAAACACACCCTGTGAAAATTCTTGTCTTAAAAATTTGTTTCATTGACTGTTAAGAAAACCTCACACTAGCAATGTCTAACCTGGAAAAGGAAACAGCACTTTCCCTGGTCATCCAGGGACTTGGGGGACAAAAGCAGGTGCCCTGCTGAAGCCGGCCAATGTGCCTCTTCTGAGGAAGGGAGCACTGCCAAGCAGTGTTGACTCCATCCAGGCCCTTACCTATGATCAGCTTCAAGAGCTGGCATGGCCTGTTCCACATGCAAGAGATCTACAACAGTCTCCGCTTCTGACAGCCAACTCTGTGTTCGGACAAAGGCTAAACAGGAGTAGCAAATGGGTAAGAAGATGGCAGGGCACAAAAACTGAGCAAATTACCTTCCTGCTTATTCGGTCTTTCAAATTAATAAAGAAAAAATAAAAAACGAACAGGGCCCGGCATGGTAGCCTAGCAGCTAAAGTCCTAGCCATGCACAAGCTGGGATCCCATATGGCTGCCAGTTCTAATCCCAGAGGCTTTACTTGTAGCCTGGGAAAGCAGTAGAGGATGGCCCAAAGCCTTGGAACCCTACACCTGTGTGGGAGACCTGGAAGAGGCTCCAGGCTATGGCTCGATTCAGCTTTGACTGTTTGGGAAGTGAATCAATGAAAGATCTTCTCTGCATATCTGACTGTCCAATAAAAATTAAAATGATAAAAATAAATCTTAAGTCAAAATTATAATTTATTGCATTTGAAAGGCAGAGTTACAGAGAGACATCCTTCACCTGCTGGGTCACTTCCCAAATGACAGCAATGGCTGGAGCTGATCTGAAGTCAGCAGCCGGTGTAGGGTCTTAACAACTTGGGCCATCCTCCACTGCATCGGAAAATGGAGCAGCTGGACACAAACTGGCATCCACATTGGATGCTGGTGCTAGCCCCTTGAAGTTCCTTCATAATACAAGTGAGGGGCCTGGAGATTGTTACCGAATGGATTCCTTTTTCCCCACATCATATTTTCTGGTGCTGTGGTTTAGGGGATTAAACTACTTGCTGGCATGTCAACACCTCCCACCTCCCTACAGGTGCCAGTTTGTGTCGTGGCTGCTCTACTTCAGATCCAGCTCCCTGCTAACAGCCTAGAGAAAACAGTCAAAGATAGGCCAAGTATTTGAGTCCTGGCTACCCAAGTGGCAAAAAATGTAAGCTGCTCCTGGTCTCAGGCTGGCCTAGTCGTCTGGGGAGTGAACTGGTGGACTTAATTTCTATCACAAACGGGGAGAGACAGATCTTATTTTTCTCTATCCCTAGGTGATGGAACAAAAACAAAACAAAGATAACAAAATGCTTGCACCATGCCAGACAGAAGCCGACTCCATTACCTGAAATATGGTGTGCATGATAACAGTCAGAGGCCGGTTCCCAGATAATTCTGCTATTCTGAAAACATGAAGACCCCATTTGTTCACATCTTCTAGTTCCTGGAATTAAAGAAAGGTATCAAAATTAGCAGGTGAGTGTAAAGTCATTTAAGACAGTCAAGATTTTTGGAAAGCAATGATTCATTTTCAATGTACTAAACTCAGGTATGTCCACTTCAAAATGGGAGAATGGACTAGTATTGCTTAGTATCTTAGAGTATCTATAGACAAGAGACTGTAGATATCTATTCTATCAATGTGAAAGCAGTTCTCCAATACAGAAAACTTCCAAACTGAAAAATCTCCCCCTCCAAGTTATTGTATTTAGGACTGCAATGTATTTAGGACTATGATTTGTCTTCTCACCTTGGCCAGCACATCTTCTTGTTCGGTTTTCACTCCAAACCTTGGGATGCTTGAGTTGGTCAGACTAGAGCTGTGCATCAACTTCTTCACCCCGCTGATCTGAGACATCGGCCTTTTCTTTTTCTCCTTTTCCTTCTGAGTTGGAGAAGGAATTTCCACTTCATGTTGCTTATCTGAAGACATTCAGAAAACGAGCTACCTTTGTTATCACAGCACACATAGCCAAACATGTTCTATATTCTTGAAAATGCTTTTAAATGAATCTTACAAGGTTCATAGAATGCGTATTTTTGATAGTTTGGAGAAGCCAAGAGGAAGATGGAAAGAGCTTCCCCTTGCTGTCTCATTCTGTGAATGTCTGCAATGGCCAGGGCCAAGCTGAAGCTGGGTAGGTTTCCAACAGGAGTGGCAGGCACCTAATTAACCAAACCCACCAGCATGTATAGTAGCAGGAAGCAGTAATCATATTGGACCCTTGAACTCAAAAATTCTAACATGGGGTGTAAACAGTGCATCAGATGACTGCTGGGCCAAATGCCCATTCCTCCACAAACTTTTTAAAGCTCACACATGTGTTTGACATTAGATGTGGACTTCAGTTGATATCAAACACAAAAGTTGGCATATGAAGTCCAACACCAAATGGCATCAAATGGATGCAGTGGTTAACTCTGTAACAGGATACTTTAATAAGACTTATCATTGAAAGCAAAAACCCTTGGCTAAATTTTGCCATTCATCTTAAGGACTGGAAGGATTCCAGTTTCAACACCTACTATAATATTCTAGAAAACTTCTTTCGAAAATAACACAAACCCATGGCATGTTCAAGTCGTTGGGTCTCTCCGTACTGCACTGTTTTTGGTTGGGACTGAGGAGTCGCTTGCCAGCACCCTGGACTCTTAGCTTAAAGCTAGCAACCCTTTCTTTCACAAATGCGTTGTGATCTGCCCAGAGGTTTATTGGGTTAGGTGGCCAGTAGATGGTCACTTACTGATGGCGGAGATCACTTCTAATCTCAGAGTAAGAATTTGTCCCAACACTTGGCAGATGTCTCCATAAAATATTTACTGTTTCATTCTACAAAAATAGCTAGCTATCTATGATTCACGGATTCTCCAAAAGTTTAAATAAACCAAAAGCGAAAATCTATTCTGCAGTCCCAACTATGAAGGCTCAGGGGCTTACTCTCAGTATGATGAGAGAAAACAGAATTCCTAACATTTGATTTTCAAAAGGAGTTGGCACCCCGGTCCTTCTTGAATAAGCTCAACTGTTCATTGCATGGCGTTCTTACCTAGGAAAGTGTTGGATATATATTCTGACACTTGATTTCCAGACCGACTCATTTCAGAGAGATGAGTGAGCTCCCGATTCAGCATCCTTTTAAACTGAAAAAGAGAAAGGGAAAATAAACTAAGAGAAGAAAACTAAAGCACATCCTACAGGAGGACACCTCCACATGATTTTTACGTGTCTTGAGAAAGACATATTGTGATATAATATTCTGTAATGTTGAAAAAGGCCCTAATTGGCACCATGATAGTATTCCCAGCCACTTGGGCGTAGTACAAAGGAAGACTTGATGTTTGCTTAACTTTAAACAGCCACATGTAACTAATGGGTACCGCACTTGTTAATGCATGTGCAAAGACTGCAGGACATTAATTCTAGAAAAAAGTAATAGAGTATTAAGATGTTAATTACTATTTTTGGAATTGTTTTCCACAACACATTCATGTCCCCCTCCCCATTCCGCTCCATATTATTACAATAGTATAGTTTTAGTCCAAGTTACAGGTCTGTCATTTGCATGTATCATAATGTGGCAAGTACAGGCAAAGGTGGAAAACCTAGAACTGTATTTTAGAGGTGTATGTACAAGTTTCACTGTGAGTCTTATTTTTATTCCTACAGAGACACACACCGCATAGTTAATTATCATTTAGAGAAAGGGTGCAGCAATATTGCCAAACAAGACAAATTTTTTAACATCAATTACAATATATAACACTGATCAGAGGTCAAAATCTACGGTTTCACTCTCAAAGCACTATTGAATCAGAGTACTCTTCTAGAACTATGGATCCATAAAACATCTGAAGAGTGTTTCCTTTATAAAGTGTTTTTCAAGTAGAGGTAAAAGATGCATTGGTTCTCAGCATCTACCAACTCATTTCTGAAGCACTAAATAGAATATTGACAATCGACCCACTTTTTATTACCTACTTCCCAAAGAAATGCTGCAATCAATCTGGTACCACACAGTATTACCAATGTCCAGAATTTTGTTTTTGTGCCTCCTTGCTCATTAACCACTTCTTTTATTTTTGGTTTGTTTTTACAGATTATTTTTATTGGAAAGTCAGATTTACAGAGAGGAGGGGAGACAGAAAAATCCTCTGCATGCCGGTTCACTCCCTAAGCGGCTACAACAGCCAGAGCTGCGCCAACCTGATGCCAGTCTGGAGCTTCTTCCAGGTCTCCCACGTGGCTGCAAAGTCCCAAGCCCTGGGCCAAACTCCTCTGCCTTCTCAGGCCACAAGCAAGGAGCTGGATGGGATCCTGGCAGGGACTTTATCCATGAAGCTAATGTGCCAGGCCCCATCAACTCTTAATGTCTTCCTTTAACTCTGAAAACAGTCCTATGTGCACTAGCATTTTCATATTTCTCTTAATATACATAATACATGTGTCCTCTACAAAGAGTAAGTGCCATGAATACTTGAAAATGTGAAATGTTTTTCATTATAGCCTTCAAAAACTTTAGTTTTATCATATTCTCATGTAAGAATAATTCTGAAATGCAACTGATAGCATTGAGCTGGCTACTTGGAATTTTCCAAAAGTAAATAAAAAACCAAGCACTTTGCTTTTCTGCATAATTCATGCCAACATAACCCTAACCCAATATTTTTTGTTATATCACTTCCCAATGTCAATCTTATTGACCAACTAGATTAACTAGAACAAATCAACCATCACCACAAAGCACTGAAGGAGAACGGAAACAAAACCCAAAACCCTTATCAATAAGCTGGCTGGATATAGGAAATGCAAATTAGCATTTTCCTGGAGGCCAAAATGAACTTGACAAGGCCAATAAAAATTCTGCGCGTCAATTTTTAGGTGTAGGAAACACAAAGGAATAAAGTTTACTTTTTCCAGACTTTGGTAACTTAATGACTAAATGTGCATATGCTATAGAAAATCTGCAAAGCTAGAAAATACATCCCATTGTTCAGAAATAATCATAGATATTTATATTATCTTGTAAGCCTAAAGGCTTAGAAATATAAGAATCTACTTTGATATGTATTTATATTTAAAATTGACATGATGTAGTAATACAAATCATGGCCCACTGCTAGCTTTCCCTTTACATCTGTTCTACTGTAACAAAAACATTTAGGGGGAAATCTCCTAAAATATTTACAAAGATATTTACACTGAGGTTGACTTGTGATACACCAAGATGCTAACATCCCATATAGGTACTGGTACAAATCCGAGCTGCTCCACTTCCAATCCAGCTGCCTGGGAAAGCTGCACAAATTGGTCCAAATGTTTGGGCTCCCAAGCCCATGTGGGGAGACACAGATGAGTTCAACTCCCGGCTCTGGTCTGGCCCAGCCTCAGTGTTTGCTGAGTTTGGGAAATATATCAGCTATACAAGATCGATCTCTGTATAACTCTGCTTTTTGAATAAAGCAAAAGACATCCTTTAAAAAAAATTTTACAATGGTGTTCAAAATGCAGACAACCTTTTCAAAGATACATCTTCTTACATACATTATGAGCAATTCACTAATTAAATGAGCTACCACAACATAGGCCAGGTTTTCAGCTGCTCCTGGCCTTTTAACAGTCTACACTTTTCTCTACAGCCAGTGTTGCACTGTGTGTCCTCTCAGTGATACCCTTCTCGGGGGTGACAGGGCCCCGCTGTTTACAGTCCCTCTTCCTCCAACCCCACACACAACCCGGGGTGAGGCAGATGCTGACACGCTTAAGCACAAGCATGTGTCCACCTGCAGATATGCTACAATTACTGGATTCTTTCTGGAAAAGTATCAAGAATGGACAGTGGACTGAAGCTCTGCTAGAAAAATGCATGGGAGAGCCTCTTAGGGGAGTTCTCTCCAGGGCGACGTCCTCTCTTCCATCAAGGGCAATTTTGTAGGTTTGGATGGGAAAGCATTAGACCTTCACCTTACAGTCCTGCCTTGGCTCCTTTCTGCTTTGTAATCTGATGAGATCTTTAAGAAATCTCATTTCCCTCCAGCTAATAAGGTAATAAAAATTTTTTTTAAAAAACCTGCAATTAAATAAACTTTGGAGTTAACATCGTGCTGCAGCGGGTCTGACCACCACCCGTAAGTTCAGCACATCCCTCCTGGGTAGGCACTGGTTTGAGTCCCGGGTGCTCCCTTCTGACCCAGCGCTGTGCCAATGGCCTCGGAAAAGCAGCAATAGATGGCCCACGTCCCTGTAACAGCTGCTTGGGAGACCTGGAGGATCTCCTGGCTTCCCCATGGCCCAGCCCTACACATTGCAGCCATGTGGGGTTGAATCGGCACACAGAAGATGTGTGTTTACCTCTGCCCTCCTCCCTGCTAATTCTGACTTTCAAAATAAATAATTTCCAGGACAGTTTTTTTGGGAGACTAGGTGGCTGGTATCATCATGAATTCAATGGCGCTTATGCTGAGAGGTAAAGTGTATATATATATATATATATATATATAATATGTATAGCTTTTAATGCTCTCTTTCCACAAGCCTTTTAAGTCCCCTTATACACACAGACACAAGCAACTTATGCAGTTGTTGAAAGAATGCTTATAGAAATCTCATGAGGTATATGCCATTAAAACCATATATAAAGAATGGAGTGTAATTTTCCTGGAGGTTTGCTCGTAACATTCCTCAACATAACAACTCGGTACTACAGACAACACAAAAGGCCACCAGAAGGAGTCTATCTGCAAAGCCAACTGAATAAATACCATAAATAAATATTTCACAGAATATTTTTTATGTTTATACATTATTCCCAGACTACCCCTCTGTCTTTGTTGCAGACAAAATCCTAGGCTGGACCGACCCTTCAGGACACAAGCATGTGTGTCCTGTCCCTACTTTTAAGGTGCCCCAATGCTTCACTTTAGCATAAGAGACAATATCTGGTATAACCCCCTCTCAAGGGAGCGAGTGTGGGCAAATTCCTAAAGACAATTTTCAGAGTCAGATGAGTTAAAGGTATTTTCTAAAAGGAATTTAAATGGGGTGTTTTCTTTAGGGGGGAGTTATAGGTAACATTTTCAAATAGGCTAAATTCATAGGCAACACAATGAATATGAATGCTTTTGCAACTGGTAGTTGACATCAACAATTAGTTCTAGAATATACACCTAGACATGGGGAAGGCTTTCTAATACGCCAAACACAGTTTAACCATTAGTACCATGGCTCTCATGTTAAGGTAACTACATACAGTCACCACTGCATTCCTAACAGATGGAGAAAAAACAAAACACAGAAGTGTACTTCAAACAATCTGAATATTTTCTGCTGATGAGCTTCTCCTAGTCTGGAAACGCCACACTGACTCAGGTTTGCTACTAGGAAGAGAGGAGGCTTGCTCAGGGCAGGTTCTCCAGCCCTTTGTTCTCTTTCTGCATCAGAATTTCTGTATGAGCAAAATTTAAGGCAAAAAGGGAAAATGCAACTGACTTGGAATACCGTATTTTGCCTTTTTGAGCTCCGTTTCTCCAATTTAACACTCTGCATTTAAGATTATTAAGGAAGGAACATAACAAAGTACTTTAACCCATTATCTCCCTGAGCTCTGCATCATGCCAGCGTGTCACTGAGCCTATTCCATCTCCTCCTGGCATATGCTTAAGGTAGTAGTACAGGTAAAACAGTAAGAAAATGCTTCTTTTTTTTTAAACCCACAATATTCAGGAAATTATCATTTGAGTATGCTGCACCATGAGGCTATATGTATGGTAGAAATGAATTTAAAACAGAAAATTTGGAAACAATATTTTCATCTACTTTTCCCTAAACCTCGATCCTTCCCACCTGATCAAACATGTAATCATCATTGAAAATACATATTAAAAAAAAAAAGTTAAAACTAGTGCCTGCCTAAAAACAAACTTACATATTTGCCTTTCTTAGATTTTGGGGTGGGGCCCAATATTAAAATAGAAGCAGAGACGTTCAGTTACAATTTTCCTCAAGAGGTGAAGTACAAAAATTACTAGATTTATGAAGATAATATTCATAATCATAAAAATACGAGGCTCTTACAAATGCATTGTCTGAGGCTTGGCTAAAAATTCAAGGATGTATTTTGAGATGATTATGGGTCTTCTATTTT